CTGTTTCCTGGAATATCTTACAAAAAGATCTGAAGCTCTCGACCTTGACCTCTCTAAGCGGCTTCAAATAACTGCTGTTTATGGCAAAAACCAACGCAGACATGTTCCTGTTTTTAGTTTTTACATCGCTTTACATTGTAGCTGTTTTTGTTTAATTTTTTAATATCATTTTCTTTCATTTATTTTTTCAAGTTATATGCTTTCTTTTATGATTGTTTACTGTTGTAATCACTCTTTGTTAAAAACAGGTCTCTTTTGTAAATGAGTCCTCAAGGCTCAGTGAGACTAACCTGTATAAATAAAGGTTGAATGAACATGAGTTTGATTGAAATTATAATAGCAAGGTTTGGTGGTGGTGGTGGTGGTGGTGGGAGGGGAGACGTTGTGAATAAAACCCCCAACTTACTCATTCCGGCTCTTCTCCATGTTCTGCTCATCTCCCACAATGAATACCCTGACTTGACATCTGTGCCAGCATTTTCTCCTGGTGAACAGGTAAGGTACCAGCAATGTCAAACCTTAGAAAACAAGAGAAATACTTATGAATAAAGGTAACTTGTTTTTCATATAGTGATTGAGTAGAAAGTGTTTTTTTTTTATTTTATATTTGAGAACAAAATTACACAGAACTAAAAGTAAAAACTAAAACCTCAGTCTGTAACATTTCATTAACTATCAATATCTTTAATCCTGTGTGATTTATACTCACCTCCATCATCTGCGATCCAATATACATCAATGGTTTTCTTGCCCTGGTCATTTTGAAACACTGTCTTGATCTGATCACTGTCCCCTTCATCAAACACATCATCGGCTATAAACCCCGGTGAAGGACAAACAGAAAGAAGAAAATTCCACATAAGTCGTGCAGGCTCAACAACAAACAAAGCTGGTGGTAGCAACAGTTTCATGACACGTTTCATCTAATCCAGTATTTACACACTTTAGAGTGTTGTGGTAGGAACATTACTGACAATTTCCAAAAGTGGGTTACTTTAGATTGTCTATATGATCGCTTTAAATTATACATATTAATAAAAATTCACACTGTTCTAAAGTCACAAAAAGTCCATGTCAAAAACAAAAAAACGCACTTCTTGTTGATATTTTATTCAAATACTACAAGATCACACAAATAGGACTATTGTATATTGCACCATATAATGTATTGATAATGATAATAATAATAATAATATAATACTTTATTTATAAAGCCCTTTACACAACCACAGCTGCCACAAAGTGCTGTACATATAAAATCAAGAACATTTAAACACATAAAACAGTTGTTAAAACATTAAGATCAATAAAAAAATAATAAAAACGGTGCGGAGCAAAATTCAGTGTGTGCTAAAAGCTAGGGAGTAAAAATGTGTTTTTAAACGAGTTTTAAAACTGGACAGTGAAGGGGCTCGTCTGATGGGAAGAGGGAGATCGTTCCACTGTCTTGGAGCAGCAACAGAAAAAGCTCTGTCCCCTCTGAGCCTCCGTTTAGACTTCGGCACCTCCAGGAGCAGCTGATCAGCTGATCTGAGGCACTGAGCAGGAGAATATGGGTGAAGCAGCTCAGAGAGGTAGGATGGAGCAAGACCATTTAAACTTTTAAAAACAAATAAAATAATCTTAAAATAAACTCTAAAATGAACAGGCAGCCATTGGAGTGAAGACAAAGTGGGGGTGATGTGCTCACTCTTTTGAACTCCAGTTAGAAGCCGAGCAGCAGCGTTCTGGACCAACTAGAGGCGTCTGAGGGAGGACTGGCTGACTCCAAGGAAAAGAGTGTTGCAGTAATCCAGCCGAGAGGTGACAAAGGCATGGATTACTGTTTCCAGCTGCTGTTTTGTAAGGATGGGCTTTACCTTAGCCAGCTGTCTGAGGTGATAAAAACTGGTCTTGACCACCGCTCCAATCTGGGAATCTAATTTAAAATCACTGTCCATTTTAAAACCCAAGTTAGAAACAGTTTTCTTTACATGTTGTGCCAGAGGGCCCAGATCAAGAGAGCAAGGTTCACAGGAGCCACTAAGACCAAACACCATCACTTCTGTTTTATTTTCATTGAAATTTAAGAAGTTTAAAAACATCCAGGCTTTGATGTCTTCAAGACACAACAGAAGTAGCCTAATTGAGGGGGCATCTTTCTTTTTTAGTGGCATATAGATCTGACTATCGTCAGCGTAACAATGAAAAAAGATCCCATGCTTTCAAAGGATTTATCCCAATAGAAGCAGGTAAAAGGAGAACAGCAGGAGACCTAAAATAGAGCCCTGTGGACCCCCAAAACACAGAGGAGCAGTGGAGGATTCAGACCCAGCTATGTTGACAGACATGGTTCTGTCTGCCTGATAGGACCTAAACCAGCTCAGTGCAGTACCACAGATACCCACTTGGTGCTGTAAGCGTGATATTAAAATGTTCTGGTCCATGGTATCAAAGGCAGCTGTTAGGTCGAGCAGGACAAGAACCACATGTTCACCAGAATCATTGGGCATAAGAATATCATTAAAAACTCTGACTAGAGCTGATTCTGTGCTGTGGCAAGTTTTGAAGCCAGACTGAAAAACCTCCAGGATATTGTGCTCATCCAGAAAACATTTGACCTGTGAATGTACATTTTTTCTAAAAAATTTTAAATGAAAGGCAGCTTGTAGATGGGCCTAAAATTAGCCAAGACAGTTTGGTCTAGGCTAGGCTTTTTAAGCAGGGGCTGCTCCACAGCATGTTCAAAACTTATTGGTACAACACCTGAGGACAGACTGCTATTGATAACAGCAAGGATCACCTGCCTAATGCTGGAAAACACCTCTTTTAAAAGACGAGGGGGGACAAGGTCACGAGGAGAACCTGATGGTTTAATATGGCCGACCACATCCTCTAAAAGGGTCAGGGTCACTGGTTCGAATCTATCAAACACAGCCAGGTAGGGGACCAAGAAGGAGGGGTCAAAAGCAGGGGCTGAAATAAGGGCCCTTGTGGTAACAACCTTATTTATAAAAAAACTGCAGGAAGTCATTACAAAGTTCAGTAGAGGCTTCCAGATAGACAGGTAGTGGGGCCTTCAGGACGGAGTCAATAGTTTTAAAAAGGACACGTGGATTATTATGATTGGACACAATAATATCTGACAAGTGTTGTTTTTTGGCCTCTTTAACAGTGTTCTGGTACTGACGTTGACAGTCCTTTAAAATGTAAAATGAAACCTCCTGTTTATCCTTATTCCATCTCCGTTCAGCTCTGCGACACTCCAGTCTGGCTGCAATAGTTTTTTCATTAAACCAGGATTCAGATCTGGCTTTAGGCCGCACCAGTTTAGATGGAGCTACACAGTCCAAAATCGTTTGACAGGAGGAGTCAAACCAGGAGTTCAGCTGTTCGGAGTCAACAGCAGAGCCAGAGGGAGCACAGAGCTGTTCAAATGCAGCAGAGAACTGACCAGCAGTGGAAGGATTAAAAACTCTACGTCGCTGGGCAGGAGCGCAGGATTTAACTGGAGCACAGGACAAACCAACATCAAATAAAAAAAGGCCTATGGTCAGAAATCACACTATCATATAGTTCCAGGTCGTTCATAGACAAGCCGTGAGAGAGAACCAGGTCCAACGTGTGTCCATGTTCATGTGTGGGACCAGCCACCCACTGAACCAGGTTAAAAGAGTCAGTGAGGCTGAGAAAGTCCTTCACCAGTGGTTTCTCTGGACAGCATACATGTATGTTAAAATCCCCAACAATAAGGACTCGATCATAGTTTATCATTATTCCAGTCAGGAAATCAGAAAAGTCATTCAAGAAACCTTTATTATATTTAGGGGCTCTGTAGATGACAGTGCACAGCACAGGGTGTGAGCGACCCACCTCAAATAAAGTCACCTTGAAGCTGGAGAAAGAAGACGGTGCAGAGCACTGCTTGCATTTAAAGTTGTTTTTATAAACCACCGCCGTTCCTCATCCACAGCCTGACATCCGAGGGGAGCTTAAATAAGAGTAGCCGTCTGGTAGAAGTTCAACAAAAACACTCGAGTCATCAGCCTCAACCCAGGTCTCTGTGATGCAGAGCAAATCCAAATGACGGGAACTGAAAAAGTCCCGCAGGATGAAAGCTTTGTTTGTCAGAGATCTGGCGTTCACCAGGCCAATCCTGGCAGAAACCGCAGCCTGCAAAAAGATGGGCGCTAGGGCCCGGGGCAGCATCTTCAGGCTCTGCAGGTTTTCTCTGCGTCGGTGGAGCCGAGAGAAGCAGGAGGGGTGGGGAAGAACACCCACATCCAGGCCAATGACAGGTAGCAGGCAGCTGTCAACAGGATCCAGGAAACGCCAAGGCACAGCGAAAGACGGAAATAATCCATTTCTTGTCTGAGAAATGGATGTAGAATGGGCCAGGCAGATCTTTAGTTTCACCAGCTGTCCTCCACATTTACCGCGGTAACGACAATGTTTCTGCCGGAGGGGGCAGCGCCAGTGCCCGGAGGAGATGAGCTGGGACTCCTGACAGGAGTGGGGGTAAAGCTTTCTGTCCACCATAATCAAAAGCATTGAGATTGCCAACAACATGTCGAATATCCAGGAGGGACTGGCGATTGTACACAAGCACAGACTTAGTGCTGAGCACAAAACAGAGAAATAAAACAAACCAAACCAAGAGCGACAGACGGACGGCCACACACACTGGTGCCATCTTGGGTTAATTCTGAAACTCCTGATATAGTAGTATAGTGAGAGTTAAGGGCTCAGTTAAATGTAATCTAGTATTTATACCTGATTTCCATTTATTAGATTTTTTTTTATGCATTCTCACTCCCACTTTCATTTAAAACAAAACAAATTGTATTAAATGAATATAATTTTTTGGATTATGTTGGTTCTTACCTCCGTCTTCATCAATGGTTTGCTCGTCCTGGTTTTCCACAGTTTCTTCAGGCTCAAAACTTTGATTTACTGTGGAAGCAACAGGAAGTTTATACCCTGTGTTTAGTTTTAAATGTATATGTACATTTGTGGTTGAGCACTGAGGGAAAAACATTTTATTTCATCAAACCTTCATATTCGAAATCAAAAGAGATATCCAGTCCATCCATCATCCTCAAGATGCACAAACAGTAGTTGGAGTCAAATGTGTCACTGGAGAAGAAATAGAAAACTCATTTTATGTGGAAAGATGTTTTCCAAAAATTTCCAAAATTGGAGAAAAAAATCATTGGTTGGTTCTATTTTTATATTACTTGTGTTTGTTTGTGTTGTTGTTTTGGCTAAACAGTTAATGGTACTAATTGTTAAAATTAGAATGATTAAAATCTACAGTTTTATGTTGTTTTTTATTTTATTTTTAAAACAATGTTAAGTAGCTAACAGCTTACTAAATGGTGTTGATATAATCCTCGATGCTTTCAGGAGTACTCTCCCCCCAGTTTCCCTTAAAGCCCAAAACCAATGTGTTGGGTTTCAACTTGCCAAGACCAGATGCCTTTAGAAGAGGGAGAAAAGGAAAAAAAAAAAGTGTTACATTTAGACTTTGTTGTTGTAAATACTCTAGTGCCACATCTGAGTAAATTATGAGCATTGTGTCATGAAGGGCATCCAGTTGAAAAAACAAATTGTCCAAGCAACATCATACTGGATTGGTTATCGCCAAGTTTAACAATGAACAATGTCAGTACTGTTGACAAATGAAAGTGCCAGCGCAACTCGATCTAATGCTAGTCCAAGTCCACGAGAAGAGAAACATCTTGGGAGATAGGGGGAGAAGAGGAAAATCAAGCGTGAAGGACAGAGGGTAGGAACTCTAAATTTAGGGACAATGACAGGCAAAATTAGAGAGATGGCTAGCATGATGCAGAGAAGGAAGGTAGACATATTATTTGTACAAGAAACCATGCAAAAAGGCAATAATAAATAAATTAAGAGAATGAAAGGGAAAAAAAAAAAGAAGTAATAGAATCTATAGACTACGAGTATCCTGATGCATGCTCAATAATCCAATTAATTTTTAGATATCGATTACGAGGTTGGAAAGATTAGTGAGGATGACATTTGGAAAGTTTAGAAGAGGATGAAGAAGGGGAGGGCAGTTGGGCCTGATGGAGACAGAAAACATGGCAGTGAGGGTTTCGATTGAATGATAGCAACTACGTGGGAATTAAGTAAATGAGCCACACAAAGCGGATCAAGCAGATAGCTGTGTAAGCAAGACATAAACAAGAGGTGACTATTTGCAAGCGGGCTGTGGTAGCTCGGTGATTTATGGCTGTGTCAGGAAGTGCATTGAACATAAAAACAATTGCCAAGAACTGGACTGAGTTCATTCGGTGTGGTGACTCCTGGAAAAAAAAAAAGGAGAAGCCAAAAGAAAGAAGAAAAAAATAATAAAGTATGATTTCAAGAAAGAGCACCGCAGTCATATTTTATTTGAGAATGTTGATGTAGAAGAACAGAGTCAGAAAATGAAATCTCATTGTGTCTTTGTAGATTTGAACTGTGATTTGTGACAAAAGGGTGGCAACAAATGATGGAACGGTTTACAAGACACTTGTAAAAAACAGCAATGTTGTCTGATTAGAACACTATGGTAGAAAGAAAAATATAGAAGAAAGAACTGGAAGTGACAGAGCTGAAGATATTGAGGTTCTTCTGGCAGTGGGACAGATGGATTGGACAAGGACTGAGATCATTTGTAGTACAGCACAGATTGAACAACTGGGAAATAAAGTTAGAGAGGTCAGACTGAGATGGTTTGGACATGTCTAGAGAAGAAACAGTGGGAATATTGGTAGAACGATGTTAGAAATACAGCTACCAGAAAAAAGACAAAAAGGAAGAATATGTTATTGGATTTACAGTAAAAAGTTTCTAAAGTTTTTGTGACATCTGGATGATTAAGAAAGGTGGAAATGCTAACAAACAAAATATTTTTTCTCACATGAATACATCTTGTATAATGTACCTGTAACAAGTGTTTAGCTCCCGCTCTGAGACTTTCAGCAGAAAGAGGAGTATAAAATGACCGCACCTTCCTCTTGTTCAGCCACTTTACCATGCTCTCTGTAGCATCATGGGGCCTTGTTGTCCTGTCCTGTTCCTACAAAAGTTCAGAATTTAACCTGCTCTTTAATGATTAATAAAACAAGTAAGGATGACCTTCTGTCATCAAGTTATGGACCAAATAAAAGTTGCTTGTTTCCTTTCTAAAAAGACCACGGTCGAAGCTCCTACCAATATGATGTCTCCACAGATCATGAGGCTGATATGTTTAGTGAAGGAGCCAACAAAGTCCACCAAAGCAGGTCGCTGGTTTGGGGGTCCAGTCAGGACAAGGCACTGTGGCCTGAAAGAAAACACAGAAAAACAGTTAGTAGTAAACAAACTGTAGTTCTTTATTGCTAGCATAAATAAAAAAAAAGGTAAATTCACAAATAAATGATCCAGTTAGTTTAAAAACGGTTTGTTGGAAGTCTAGTTTTTACCTGGCAGTCATTGGTCTGCCAACAATATATTTATAATTTACTTCGACATTTTCTGCTTTGAATGTAACTAATATTTGTAGGTGGACTAACCGAAAATTTTTGACGTGATCCTCCACACCCGTCAAAGAGACAGAATAGGACAGAGCCATGTTGTATGTTCCTGCTTGGACTGATGAACCCCAGTTTATTTCTGTCACATGAGACAAATGTTTAGGACGGAAGAATGCAGTAAATTAAAACACAGACATTGTTGCGGTCTTCTTTAAAAAAACTTTCTTTTATAGTCAAAACGCCCCTACTTTTAATGCAAATAAAGTCAGCTGCATCTAACCATGTTTCCACATAAAGATTCACTTTGTCTTCCCAATATTCTATTCTTTGGTCAGGTTCACACTGTGTGATTTTCTGCCATCACAGAGAAATTCTTTAGAATTTTTTTTTTTTAACAGTTGTTTAAAAAAACAGGGGTCATGAGCTTGGATCAGCAATCTGTAGCTTTCAGTTGTGAGACTGAATTCAAATTTAGAAATACTTTATCAACCCTATTTGTAAATTAAATAAATAGGAATTAACCCCTAACGACAGTTTTTTTTAATCCAAAGCATTTCTTACATACTTTTCATACATTTTTTCATGCACAGTTGAGTACAATGCTTGGACTCAAGCCTGCGGACCTCGCATGGCAGCCAGACACGCTTTCCCTGAGCTATCCAGTCAGACAAATCAGTGGTCTGTGTTTTTTTGGTGTGACTGACAGCCAATTTAGCATTTTTAACGAATAAATACAACCTATAAAACAAATCAAGCAGTCAGAATTTTTTTGTGTGATTTCTACGAGAACCAGTCTTTTGCCTAGCTACAAACTCATCCACAGCCATCTATTTCTGTTTCATTTCCTCCTTTCTCCTCCCAATGTTCAGTAAATCTGAATCTCATAATCAAGAACATTACCAATGTGTAACTTCGTTATATTGTTGGAATGATATTTATGTTAGATTTATGATGTATGTGATGTCCCACAATGTGAGCTTGGAATGTGACCCCATGGGTCAAGCTTCCCTGATTGGATAAGATTTTGAAGAAACACCCCCTTTCTAAAATGAGTTAAAAACTAACACTCAGAGGAGAAGTGGGTCTTTGTCATATCATGGGTCATACACTAAGTTGTGGGTCGAATAAGAGAAAGTCCACCCCCACTGAAATACAGAACACCCTTGAAGCCAAATCCTGAAAGAATTTGCCTTGGCAGCAGATGTCCGTCCTGAGAAAGACGTCCACTCCCAACAGGAAGGTCACTACTAAAAGCCACTTTCCTCTGGCATCCACCTGGGTAACTGAAGCTACGATTCTCTGGAAGGAGATAAAATTTCCTTCCCTCCGGCAAAAGCCACCTCCACCACCGTGCCAGCTTAGTTTTAGACATTTTTATTTAGTTCATGAATCTCTGATAAATTGTACAAACTTTTTAAGCTTAGTTCCAAATTTAAATAAAATATCTCCTCAAAGCTAAAAGCTATTTTACATCATTCATTTTCTTTGCAATATTCCTGGTTATTCATTCACATTCCACATTGTTGTTGATACTCATATTGTCAACAAAAGTTGCATTCACTGGTGATTTTAACATAAACAGTTTTGTGTGTTAAATTCATGAGGGAATTACAGCATGAACAAACTTGTGTTTTGATCAAGGAATCGGTCCAATCTATCTTTATTTCTTGACCTCTTCTCCTATATCTCTACACTTCAATGCACATTATTGGCTCTGAAACCAATCTCCTTGAGAAGGGCTGCACCTCATTTCACTTTGGAGTTGCCCATGGTGAGAGGTGCCAAGCTGGTATAGGTCTACTCTTAAGGCTCTGGATGTTGCAGGGCTGTCTTGGTTGACACACATTTGTAACATCACCCTACCCTAGGGGCATTGCCACTGGATTGGCAGACTGGATAGTAAGGTCTATCCAGGGGTACTGGAAACGTGAGTCTAATCATTGGTCGAACCTCAGATCCAGGAGGAACACTACGGGTTCCTTCTTGGCTGTGGAACACTGGACCAGCTCTTTACCCTCACTAGGATCCCTAAAGGGTCCTGGGTGTTTGCCCATCCAGTCTACATGTGTTTTGTAGACTTGGAGAAGGCATTTGACTGTGTTCCTCAGGGTACACTGTGGAGGGTACTCTGCGAGTATAGGATTAGGGGCCCATTGCTATGGGCTGTTTGGTCCCTATACAAATGGTGCAAGAGCTTGGTTCACATTGCCGGTAGTAAGTCGGACCCCTTCAAGGTGCGAGTTGAACTCCACCAGGGCAGCCTGTTGTCACAGATTCTGTTCATAACTTTTATGTACAGATTTTCTTGGTGCAGCCAGGGGGCAGAGGGATTTCAATTCGGTGACCTCAGGATTCCATCTCTGCTATTTGCAGATGATGTGGTCCTGTTGGCATCATTGTGACGTGATCTTCAGCTCTCATTGAAGCGGTTTGCAACCAAGTGTGGAGCGACAGGGATGAGCGTCAGCACCTCCAAATCTGAGGCCATGGGTCTCAGTCAGAAAAGGGTGGATTGCTCTTCCCGGGTCGAGGGTGAGGCACTGTCTCAAGTGGAGGAGTTCAAGTATCTTGGGGTTTTGTTCATGAATTTGGGACAGATGGAGCGGGAGATTGACAGATGGATTGGTGACACGTCTGTAGTATTGCAGATTTTGTACAGGTAAGTTGGGGTGAAGAGGGAGCTAAGCTGTAAGGATAAGATCTTTGTTTACTGGTCAGTCTAAGTTCCTACACTCACATAGGACCACAAACTCTGGTAAGGATGCTTCCTGGGCGCCACCCTAGGAAGGTGCTTCGGGCATGTCCGACTGGAAGGAGACTCCAGGGATGATCCAGGACATACTGGAGGGATTATGTCTCTTGGTTAGCCTGGGGATGCCTTGGAATCCTCCCAGTAGAGCTGGAAGAGGTAGCTATGGAAAGAGATGTCTGGACCTCCTTGCTTGAGCTGCTCCTTCTGCGACCATATTTCGGAACAAGCAGAAGATAATGGATGGCAGGATGGAACTCTACAGATATATAGATAAATGTAGCTAAAATATGGATGGATGAATATGGTTGGATTGGAAATTAATTTATCTTTTGCTGTACTTTAAAAAAACAATGACTGAACTAAATGAAATTTGAGAGATATTTTGAACGCAGTTAACCAATAATTGGCACTGAGGAAGTAACAGACACTATTCACAAAAAGTTTTGAACGTTTCAATTGTAACAGTTACGGACTCACTGGGTTTGTTGTAGTTAACATATCCAAAAAGGAAGAAGATGATACAGAAGGTGATGAGAGCAGCCCACCAACTGAATAGAAACATCAGAACCACGGAGATCACTGCCCCAAAAAGAGCTGTCCATTTGCTGTAGTAGTGAAACGATGGCCTCCATCCTAAAAGAAAAATTGAAAGACAGATGACAATGAACTTGAGAAACGTAAACAACTCTGTCTTAATTACATATTTAACCATAATCTCAGAAGGTACGGGCAGTTATTTGTGGTGACTGAAGCATATTATTACAGTGATTTTACACAAGCAGCAAAAACAACAACAACAACAACAACAAAAACTTTTGTTTTTATATAAGCAGAGATGCTAACCAGAGCAAAATATATAAACACCTACACATTTTTAGGGAGATCTGATATAATGTAATAGTCATAGCAAATGCAAGTATGTTCAACGTGTAAGTGTACAGTAAGTGTAAGTAAGTGTGTTCATTCGTACTCATCTGCTCACACAGACTCATATTCATGATGCTGTTTGGTGTATTGCTTTAGTACTACTAGTGCTTAGCGTATATTTTAGTCAACATTTTTCTTAGTTCATATCTTGGATCTTATGACTGTTTTTCTTTTACATTTTATACTTTTGTTGGATGTAACTGGGACCCTATGCACACAATTTTGTTCCACCTCATGTACCACATGTGAAGAGAATAACAATAAAGAACCTTGAATCCTTAAAGTATCAGATGATAGCATTTGTTTAGTACAGTGATATTGCTAAATTTGGCCACAGCCTGTTTAAAATGTGGTCTTCCTGATTGCCTAGACTAAACTGTTTTTGATATGTTATGTTTAATATATACTGAAGATTTTTGCTGAACAGATAATAAATAAATTAAAAAACAACAAATGAGTAAGTAATAGAGTAAGTAAATTACCGGGGGAATTTGTAATAGAAGCATGAAAGCAACTGAAGTTTATAAGGCAATAGGAGCACAAGAAGAAGTTGGAGATTAGTGCTGCAATGGTGTTCAACTCCGCTGTGATGAGAAACATAATAGGAAAGAAAGAAACAGACATAAATACACAATGTGTACATAAATTCAGAACTTAAAGTAAATTCTTGAAAGTGCTTTACATTTGTAAAAATTGGAAAAACAAAACTCGTTAGCAAAGATAAAGTTGGACATACCAATGAGAATGAAGGCCACAGCAATGAGGTAGCAGAGAATATATGCTCGGATGGGCTCATTATTTTTCCCATAATCTTTTGCAAAGAATATAATGTATGGGTATATTTTGTCCTTACACAGACACTGAAAAACAGGCAAAATATAATCATAAATTAGATACAATTTTACACATTAAAGAAATTAACTTATCTAAACCAGCCATTAGGGAGCATAAGCCAGTGTCTCTTGTTCCAGTCCATACCTAGATAAATGGTGACCATTGAGTCAGGACATCTAGTGTAAACCACATTTGCCAAAACAAAACTATACTGGATCGGTCGAGGTCCAGGTTAACAAAAATCCACACCGGTTTTGTTGACAAACAGGGTGCCAGAGATACTGTGCTACTGTTAGTGAAAGGCCACAAGGAGGTACAAATGTCAGGAGACGGAGGGAGAAGAGGAGCGTAAAAGGTGCAGGACTGAGGAAGGCAACTCTAAATGTTGGGACAATGACAGTCAAAGGTAGAGAACTGGCTGACATCATGCAGGGAAAGAAGGTAGATGTACAGTATAATGTGTGCAAAAGAAGAAGTGGAAGGGCAGCAACATCAGATTTTTGGAGCAGGGTTCAAGCTGTTTTATCATGGTGTGAATAGGAATAGAAATGGAGTGGGGGGGTCTTGAAGGAGATGTTTGGAAAGGATCTATTAGAGGTAATTTAAAAAAAAAGTGTCCGATAGGGTGATGTGTCTGAAGGTATAAGTAAAAGGCTTGATGTTGTATGCTTTCAAAGGTTATGTTCCACAAGTTAAATGTGAGGTAGGATAGAGAGAATATATGAAAGGATACTATTCTCAGGATGAACTGAGCGGTGGTCAGAGCTGATCTGAATGGATGGTCAGGTTTGGTGTAAAGAAAAGGAACCAAAGACCAGAGGGTGGTGGCTTTTGCCAAGAGGATATAAATGGCTATAGTCCCTTACTTTCAAACGAGAAACATAGGGTGAATTGTAAAAGTGGAGACAGGCACACACAGGTAGACTACATTCTGTGTAGAAGAGGTAACTTGGGGAAGATTGGGGACTGTAATGTTGTGGCAGGGGAAAGCATGGCCAAACAGTATTGGATAGTAGTGTGTAGGATGACTGTGATGAACAAAAGTGAATTCAAAAGATCAAAGATGAAAACTAAGGAAGGAAGAATGTTGTGAAGAGTTCAGAAAAACAAAAGTTTTATAGGCTCTTGGTGGTAAGACAAATAATCCAGAGGACTAGACTACAACAGCAGTAGCGATTAGACAGATGGGCAGGAAAATACTTGATATGTCATCTGGACAAATAAAGATAAGGACACCTGGGCTGGAATAGTGAAGCAAAGGAAGTTATCCTGAGAAAAAAATTAGTCAGAAAGAAATGGTACAGTGAAAAGAATGAAGAGGTTAAACAGGAATTTACAGAGATGCAATGTAAAGCAAAAAGGTAGCAAAGTCAAAACAGGTTGTGCTGGACACTAAGGCCCTGTTTACATGATGCTAACTTTAGTGAAACTGTAGCTTTTCCAATGTGATTCATTTATATGTGTACATGACAACAAGCCTTGTTTATTTTTGTAACTGAAACATCTTGAATAAGGTCTCCGAGTGTAGGTGTTCGGGAAACCCACTGCAGAATTGTGAAATTGCATGTGCGGCAGCAGTCAATACTTTTTCTGAGCATGCATAAGTACCGGTAGATGAACAACAGCAACGATAGCAGAAAGTAAAGTTTGTTTATGCTACTTCCCTTATCAACATGTTTTAGCAACATTAAATTATTCCTTGTCCTGTCAAACTATCTTGTATTCCCCATTTTGGTTGTAACAATGTATATGCTCAAGATTGTGTGCATGTCTTCTTGAAAGCATTGCCAGATATGATAATTACTATTTTGATGAGCTGGTTTAAAAGTCAAGGTACCCTCCTTTCTGTGAACATGTTTGCCAATCAAATCCCACAACTAATCTTAGGACCTCACCCCTCCGAGAATGTGTACAGCACATTTGATAATTTGGCCCAAATAAAATTTCAAGGTGACAATATGACAATGGTCGGGGTGTGTGTGTGTGTGTGTGTGGGTGGGGGGGGGGGGGGGGGGGGGTCTAATTAGAGTTTGCATGTTCTTTCCATTCATGTGTGAGTTTTCTACGGGTACTCCAGTTTCCTCCCACAGACCAAAAACATGCATGTTAGTCTGATTGGTAAGTCTAAATTCTCCCTAGGTGTGAATGAGAGAGTGAATGGTTGTTTGGCCTTGTGATGGACTGACAACTTGTCCAGGGCATCCCTCGCCTCTCACACAGTGATGGGTGGACATGGGCACCAGTGACCCCCATGACCCGAAAAGGAGGAAGCGGGCAAGATATAATGGATGAAGTTCAGAAAGCATGGAAATATGGAAGTATGCACTCAAAAGAAGAGGAATAAAAGACAGCCATAGCAAGACAGAGTACATGTGTGTGATTGAGACTGAGGCAGGTGAGGTTACAGAGAACAGAGGTGACAAAGATTCAGGATATAGAATAGTTCACTGTGCAGAAAAACCTGGTAAAGAGATGAAGAATCGAGTCCGAAAAGGATGGAGCAGATGGCAAAAAGTTTCTGTATTGATTTATGACGTAAAAAGGCAGAAGCAAAGGTCAAAGGAAACGTTTACAAGAGAGTAGTGAGACCAGCTATCTTGTATGATTTGGAGACAGCAGAATTGGCAAAAAGACAGGATAGAGAACTGGAAGTAACAGAGCTAAGATTTTCAGATTATTCTTGGAAGTGAAAAGGATGGATAAGATTAGGAATGAGATTGTCAGAGGTACAGCAGAGGTTGAACTGGAAGAAAAAGTTATAGAGGCCAGACTGAGATGGTTTGACATGCGTAGAAGAGGGACTGTGGGTATATTGGTAGAATGATGTTAGAAATGCAGCTGCCAGGAAAAAGATCTAAAGGAAGTCCAAAGAGGAGATGCAGTAAGAAAGAACCTGGAGGTAGTTGGGAGGATAGAGGATACAGAGGACACAGAGGACAGAGTGGGATAGAGGAGAATGACTTACTGTGGCGGCCCCTGAAAAGGGAACAGCCAAAAGAAGAATAAGAAAAATTGTTATTGTTTATCTATTTGATAGAATATAAGAAAAACAAACAATATTTATTTTAATCAGCGGGGCCCTCAAAAGCCAAAAATACATAATATCATTGAAAACCTGTAGTCATCACAAGACAGCAGGTAAGCGGTACTCAATTTGCAAATTTGTTAATTATGACAAAAACTAATAAAAATGCAGTATAGTCATGACAGCTACATTTTGAAACTTTTTTTTCTAGCACGAAAACCACATTTAATGTAATGGTCTACTTAATATGAAACATATTACAATGGTTTGTTACCTGAAAACCTTTTGGTGTAGTGACTAGGAATCCAAGAGTAGTGGACAAGCTGGCTGCAAAGACTCCAGCTGTGATGAGGTAGTAGAAACCAGAAACCTGCCCCAGTACCTGGATGGAACATTTATTATGCAGACTTTACCAAATTCTACTGAAGTTATAGTATAGATGAAACTTAATAGTTACAACAGTTTTATGATCAGAGTCAGAGAGTCAGAGTTTCTTTATTGTCATTCGCACCTCATGTGGTACATGTGGTGGAGCGAAATTATGTACATAGGGTCCCAGTTACATCCAACAATAAAATGTATAAGAAAAACAGTAACATCTAAGATATGAACTAAGAAAAACATCAACTAAATATACACTAAGCACTCATAACATAAAACATTGAACATCACCACAAACATGAACATGAGTCTGTGAGCAGATGTGCACGCATGAACACATCAACATTGAAACAGATCAGCAGCAACATGAAACAGATCAGCAGCAACATGATATGGTTTTTCACAGTGATTATTCTAGTTAGAGATTCATGAGTCTAACAGCCTCAGGGTAGAAGCTGTTCCTCAGTCTAGTGGTTCTACACTTAATGCTCCTCAACCTCCTTCCTGAGGGGAGTGGGGCAAAAAGTGTGTGTGCTGGGTGAGTGGGGTCCTTCATGATGCAGGTGGCCCTCTTCCTGCATCTGGAGGTGTAGATGTCTGTGATGGTGGGGAGACTGATTCCAACAGATTTCTGTGCAGCCTTCACCACTCTCTGCAAAGCTTTTCTTTCTGCAGCTGTGCAGCCTCCATGCCACACATTGATGCTCGAGCACAGGATGCTCTCCACTGCACACCTGTAGAAGGAGGTGAGGACTGAGCTTCCCAGACCAGCTCGCCTCAGCTGTCTGAGGAAGTAGAGTCTCTGATGAGCTTTCTTGATCAGGCTGGTGGTGTTGTTGCTCCAGCTGAGGTTGTCATTCATGTGTACACCCAAGTACTTGTAGCTGGAGACCACTTCCACCGCAGATCCTCTTATGTTCAGGGGGGTGTAGGTGTTTTTGTTCCTTCTGAAGTCCACAATCATCTCCTTTGTCTTCTTCACATTGATGTGAAGGTTATTCTCTCTGCACCAGCTCTCCAGGTGTTCCACCTCCTGCCTGTAGCTGGACTCATCATTGTTTGTGATGCATCCCACCACCGCTGTATCATCCGCAAACTTTACAATGTGACAGCCTGGATGGGTAGCTGCACAATCATATGTGAGCAGAGTAAACAG